CTGTACATACCCATATAGCCTATATAAGGGACTCCCCCCGGGGGCAAAAAAAGCGTTGCAGATTATGAGTATCACTGCTTGCGCAAGCGAGACTAATAAGAACCTCAAAGAAAAATTCTAAGGAATATGTATTATGGGAGGTACACTAGCATTCACATAGTTAAAGAAGTTTGGCCCAATATGTGGTCTGACTAAATGAATGTAGTTTGAGCAGTACATGGGCTTTGGTTACAATTACTGCAAGTTCTCTTGATTATTAAAACGTAGGACTTTATTCGCGATGTTTACTTTGGCCATGATAATGGTTATGCCAGGATGATTCTGACTTATTAACACTGCTAAGTTTTTGTTGGTATTGTCAGAGGAAGAAACTGATCCCTCAGCGGTCTGCTGTTTTCAAACTTGGCAACCTCACTGATTTTAACCCTCTGGTGATGGCAAGAGACAAAATTAATCTTCAAAGAGTAGTAGTTTAAGAGTGAAATTGTCAATGGATTTTTCCCCACAGAGGCCACTTTTGCTTTAGACCCCCCACCCCCCTAGAATTTTCATTCCATGTGGCAGGGTTTGTACATGTCATGGAAAACCTGGAAAGTCATGGAATTTATGCATTCCATTTTGCAGGCCTGGAAAGTCATGGAATTTAATAGTCGGTCCTTGAAAGTCATGGAAAATTAAAGGTTTTGTTTGATAGCTTAGTCACTGTCAATGCCAAGGCAAGGACAATGTAAGATATAGAGAGAAGTGATTAAACAGAGCGAACAGCATGCATTTTGGTGGACACCAGAGTTTGTGTCTGTTGAACTGTTTAAGGTCCAAAAATACCATAAAACAAGGATTAAGTCCTAAAATTTTTTGAAAGTGACAGCCAAACCTAAGGTCTTGGAAAACTTAAAAAGGTCATGGAATCTGAAGAGGTTAAAAGAGTACGAACCCTGCAGGCAGGGGCTGGTTATCTAGCAACAGCTAGATAACGGGAAGTTTATTCATGAGCCGATGACAACTTTGTTAAAGAAAGCTATCGCATAAGGCGTGAAAAAAGTATTTAGCTGACCGTAGATAAAAGATGATCAATGCAAACAATAATACTTGTTTTGAAACACTGGTAACAGTAAAATAACTGATAACTTGCTCAACAGAGAAGGTGTTATTTATTAATAACTCACCAATCTCACTCAGAGCCCCCTGGAAAAAAACCTAGGTGAGTAACCCCCCTCCCCCTTGGAAATGATCCTTTAGGACCTTCCCCTATCCCCTCAGAATTTCCGTTGCCCTCCATGGGGTGGTGGGGGGTGGGTGGTTATCAATAATTTCTGGAAGTACACAATGGAAGCTTATCAGGATTGGTCATAATATCCAGACCAAAGCCGAGGTATTGTGGAAAGATCTATCTTTGCTGACGTTTTTTACCATCTTGTTACATGTAGCTTAAACTGAAAGCTAAATGGGTCAAGGGAGGAAAATATGCATGGTTCATTATAGAACAAAAATGTCCAGAGCTGTCATCAAAGGGTTAAGGTGTTATTTCCAGTATTTTTATTAACTGTTGTTATTTAAAATAAGACCATGGAAGTGTCTTTTGATAAATTAATCAACAACAATGTCAGTTTGAGTGTAGACTGAATAGTTGTTAAATTTTTCCCCAGCACCATGGATCCAACAGAGTAAGGAAGTTTGTGACTACAGACTGTGGCTGCACACTGGTGGTGAAATGTCATAATAAAGGAAGCTGCATTCAAGGACCTGTTGAGAAGTTGTCTTGGCTTCATACTAATTTTATAACAAAGCAAAGAATATTATTATTTAGTACTGACAGTGCTATCAGGATCAGAGTCAATTCTCTTTTCTCTGGGAAATATTTAATAACCATTTCAGGTTGTTATTACAAAGAGAGGCTGGTTATTTTGACAATGATCATGTGGTTCGCCTGTCCACATTAATTTACTGAAATTTATTTTATTGTAAGAGTTGGACTGATCAAGAATAAAAATGATGTCAGTCAAATTTCCAGAAATTCTCAAACCCTGTGCGGTTGGCAGCATTCATACAGCAGCTTTGTACAATCTTGAAAAGGTCTTGAAGTAAAAAGTTATTGAATTCGCTTAAGGTCTTTGAAAAGTACTGGATTCCTTTATTGGGTCTTCAAAATTCCTTGAAATTCAATACCTTGTCTACTCCACACTGTTTTCTGTGAAATTGGATTATCTCATAGAGGAAAATTTGGCTCGTCCTTGGTGTAAGAATCTGTAAACCTCACGGGTAAACATTTTTTATTTCTGTTTCCTTATTTCAAATGCTATTTCTGTACCTCAGATGCAACTTCAAGTCATACCCAGTCGTTGCAAATTGTTGTCACGTAAAGTGGTGTGGCTGAAGAAGTAAAAATGGTAACTGACTCCATAGTTCAAAAAGGGGAATAAAAAATGCTGATTTATTGAATAAGTCTTAGTGATTGAAAACTGTAATTTGTCCTTGAAAAGTCGTTGAAATTTGTTTGTCAGTTTTAATTTGCTGATGAAATGACATCACTGTTACTCTAAATCAATTTCTCTTGTTGCCACCCAACTGGAACAAAGGATTATTACATGTATTAATGATGGATGCACCGTCAAACCAAGAAATCATGGTAAAAATAATAAGAACTTGATTAAGAAACTTGGAAGGTAAAAATAATGTTAAAAGAGAAGAGAATTGATTTTCCATCATAGTAGCACTTCAAATTAGAATTTAACGATATAGTTGCCATAATAATTCCATTCTTTTGAGGGATACCTAGTAGTGGCTATGACCTAAGCCAGCTTGTAACTATTAATTTGAGAAATATGTTGTGGTAAAAGAGGGTATAGGACAAACAGGCTTCTCTATTAAATGCATGAAAAGCCCTAGGAAGAGCTAGGCAAGTAAAGAGGATAGCCTAAAAAGTGGTGAAAATGGTGGAAATTTGTTGTTGGTTCTCTTCCTTGCTCCGAGAGGTTGTCTTAATTTACTCTGCTATACAATGGAACCTCGACTTAATGAAGGGCCAAGGGAATGGCAAAATGTGTTTGGTATAACAAGGTCCTTTTTCATATATTTTACTATTACTGGGGTAAAACAAATTGTTCATTATACCAAGGACTTCCTTATATAGGTGTTCATCATATCGAGGTTCCACTGTAGTGGTAAAGGTAAACAAAATCTTTCAGCCACTTGTGCTATATGACTGACCAAATTACAATGATGGTATTTCTACTTTCTCAGTTTGTCTGCCGTTTGTTTGTTTTCTAATTTTTTTCTGCGTCAGCCATTTTTAAAATAGATTATCCTTTTAAAGTAATAAGGCCCTCTCGAATTGAATTTCCATTCTTGCTCACAGGGGTGATGGGGAGATAATTATGTCCCCAATCTGAATTTCAAAACCCAACTTTTCATGTGTAGAGGTAGCCATGGCCATAGCCATTACAAGTTTATTGTTTGATTTAAAATATAAATTTAATAACGGGAACTTTGCCTTTACTATTACATATGTATATTATTAGCTACTTGCTGCCTTGGGTGCTGAGGCCAAAAAAATACTATCATTTGGAAATCTGCTCCCTTTCTTTTAAAGGATCAACGGTATTTCTTGCTTTCCCGCATAACAGCTTTTGGCCAGTCCAGTGGTATGAAACTGTTATACTTACATGCAAGAAATGCACTGGAATAAGGCGGACAAAGAGCTCGCCCCAATGAAAAAAAGAGAGGGAGAGTTCCAAATGGTAGTATTTTTTGCCTCAGCACCCAAGGCAGCTTGTAGCTAATAATATACAGTATATGTTTTTGTATACCCACTACCTCATTCCCACGTGTTACCTTTAAAATTATAGATAATGGGAAACGAGCCTGGCATTAGAAACCCAAAAAGTGAGGTTTAGCTCAAGTTATTCATAGTCTCACAGGTCCAGTGATCATTTAATTGTTCCTGTTCTTTTGCACTGCTTTCTCTGAATCAGGTTTTTCTGTTTATTGTCATTAAACATTTGCAGAGTGCAGCTCATTGAATAAAATAACATGTCCTATAGCAGAACCCAAATTAATCTCTAGGAATACAGAGGCAACTTTTTCTTGAAAGACTTGCTCGTGTAAATTGGAGAACTAAGTTTTTTGAAAAAACTGTCAATAGCTTTTTACACCACCAAGGAAAAGTTGCCATTAAAAACTTGTTCTAGTAAAAGGGGCTGATAGGATCCTCTTCTCAAAGTTGTGCCTCATTTGCAGCTCCATCGTAATTTCTTCATGTAAATAGCAAAACTTAGCAAGCTCTTTGCCTTTTCAAGGAAAAACATACTCGCTGCTTGAAGGAAGTAAGCCTAGCCCTGACACTATTCAAGGTCATGTTTAAAGATAAGTTTACTGAAGCTGCATTTCATTTTGTAACCCACAACCCTGCCAAGTTAAACAACCTCCCTCTTTTGCTAATGGTATTTTTAGATAGTCACCTTTGAGATATTTCAAGGGCAAGTAGAAGACAAAAAGGGACTATAATTTGAAAATCATACCATTAATGCAAATTAAGAGCGCTTAAGTGCACAACGAGCCCTTAGCACACTATCCACTATGTGCTTGGCTTAAAGCAGAAAGAAAGTCGAAAGTCAAACCCTGCACCAGGAACACTAGAATTGTTTTGCTGCTGATAATCCAATAATTACAGCATTTATACAGGAACACTAAAGCAGCAAATGTCTTCAAAGCCATTGCAAAATTAATATTCCTTAAAAAGATGCAGTAATGTCAGTTATACGTTATTAAATTAATATGCTCCGTGGTTAATTAACTACCCACTGTAGATCACGTGATATTTTCTGCTAGAGGAGAGACAGCTTTTCAAATTCACCATTTTCACGTAGATCATAATGCACTTTATTTCCGCCCCTAAATTTTGTATATGCATTGTCTTTGATTTCTTTTGGGACCACTGTAATGCCGAGGAGAAATTGAAATCAATGGGTATGCAAAGCTATGGGGATAAACAAGGTTCATTATCATCTAAGTAAAAGTGGTGAATATATATATAAAATTGGTCTTCTCCATTTACACCACCATATAAAACTTGTCTACTCTTAATTTTGTTTGGAAATTGAGCCCTTCGCTACCCCGCCTGCTGGTGACTAAACGGAAGAAAAAAGGGGTGAAGGGGTAGACCACACCCACTCTAACCTCCCCGGGAGAGGAGTGGGGAAAGGAGTTAGCGTCGGTGAATAGCGTTTTTATCAGCTTCGGGATATTAATGAAAATATATGTAAAGAAGATAAAAAGCAATTAAATTTTAGTTCATATATTTTGTAGTTAATATTACTTATCAATACACAATTTTGCCTATGGGTTGCATGAATATTTATTCAATAAACTATTTATCTACTTTCTACCACAAATGAACCTTTTTCTATCCGTCACGAAGTAAAATAGACTAATGCCTTTTAAATCAAATGCTGTCAACCCTCAAACTCACAAAATACTGTATCCCCAGAATTGTGAGATATATGCCTAATCGAAAACTTGCCCCATTCTCTAAAACACGGTACTGCGGTGCTCTTTTGAGTAACAGGCCACATAAAATATCCCATTTTCAAGAACACGGCAGTAAGGCGCTCTTTTGAGTAAACAGATTCAAATGTAGTTCATTTTCGTGATCTACAGCACGGCAGTGCGGCGCTCTTTTGAGTACAACAATATTGTACTGCGGCGCTCTTTCGAGTAAAAATTTATGAATATATGAATAAATTACCCGGCAGTGGGGTGTGGGCTCCCGCCCAAACCCCCCTCCCCCACTCCCCTCCCGGGAAGGGGGAGAGTGGGGTGTGGGCTCCCGCCCAAACCCCCCTCCCCCACTCCCCTCCCGGGAAGGGGGAGAGTGGGGTGTGGGCTCCCGCCCAAACCCCCCTCCCCCACTCCCCTCCCGGGAAGGGGGAGAGTGGGGTGTGGGCTCGGCCCCCCACTCTTTAGGGGGAAATGTTAGAGTGTTTATCCCTCAAGGAAAAACTTGTCCGATATTTCTATTTATGTTACCAAACAAAACATTCATGCTAAGACTTTTCAAGAAAAACCTCTCACTTAAGTCACAAGCAGAAGGTAAGTAAAGGTAGGAAAGGTCTCGATTTATAAACATAAACTATTAAGATGTTTGATAAGTTTTATTTGGTGGTTTAAATGGAGAAATCAAGATTTGTTTTCATATTTACCATTTTTACTTAGACTATAATACACATTGTTTACCTTAGGATTTACCTCTAAAATTTTGCTTAACCATTGTATAAAATTTCTCCCGGGTATTACAGTCATCCCAAGAGAAATGGAAGACAAGGGTTATGCAAAATTTTGGGGGGGGTAAACAAGGTGCATTATAGTCTCCGTAAAAACGGTTAATACGAAAAAGTTCTCCATCTACACCACCAAATAAAACTGTTCAAAAAATCTTACTAGTCTAAATTGAGACCTTACTTACCCTTACTTACCGTCTGCTGGTGACTGAAAAAGAAGGTTTTTCTTGCAAAGTCTCCTCATGAATGTTTTGAATGGTAACATAGATAGAAATATCAGACAAGTTTTTCCTTGAGGGATAAACTCTAACTTTTCTATTTACATTGAACAAATTAAACTTGTTAAAAAACTGACTACTACTTCTTGTTTAAAATAAGTAACGTAACACAACATGATTGTCCGCAAAATCCTCCAAAGGCTGCGGTAATTTAATGTTATATCACAATCTCCTTTCGGTTCTGTTTTTGGTGTATCTTCTTGAAGGCTAGGGCTCTTGAACTTCATTCTTACATGGATACATACTGCCTGAAAGAAATTAAAATACAAGTAAGACGAACTTTGAGATTTAGAATTCTTTCTAACAATAAATATACCGTAAAATTCCGAAAATAAGTCCCTCCATGTATAACCCCCTCCAAATATAAGCCCCCAAAATCGTAACGCAAAAAACCCTCCGTTAAAACGCCCCTCCGAATACAAGCCTCCCGGGGCTTGTACTTGGAATTTTCCCTGTAATACAAAGTAAAACAAAGCAAAAATGGTAAATTACCTTCCCACTACAAGCTAGCCAACGCAAATTTCCCTCCGCACATAAGCCCCTCAAAAGGGCCTTTGAAAAATATAAGCCCAGGGGCTTATTTTCGGAATTTTACGGTAGTTGCTTAGTTTTTATTGCCGAACCTGCATGTATAGAATTAATACACTTTTAACTTGGTTTTAGGATATAACCTCCTGTACTCTTACTTATTGACACTGCTGCTTCTGAAAAGTCCATGAAAAGATGTCAACATCACGCCTTGGAGGGCATCACTGAGGCAAAACCACGGCGATTTTTGTTACGGTTAAACCTTTTAGACTGTTTTTTCCCCTTGCATATTATAAATTTTTTTAAAAGTTTGATTCATTTCAACTGGAGAGTGTCCTTCTATCCCCTGAATGTGTCTATTGGCAAATAAGGTAGAGTAAAAACATGAAATATGTTTTTGGACGTTTTAGTTTTCAGTTAAGTTCACTTAATAGATAATTATGTGAAACGAATAATACTGAAATTAACTGAACAAATTGCGAAGATTGACCAAGAGACCTCGTGTCTTTTTGCACATTATCACCCATTCCCTAACTATAAGGATTGTGAGCGTGGCTGAGCAAAATTTTATAGAGAAAGAATTCTATCATAACTTTTATTAAAGCGTAGACCAAAATAAAGAAACAAAACCCTTGCATAAAATCACCTGATACGAGATTTCATCACGCAATTAACAAAATCAGTTCCAAATCAAGTTTTATTTTTATTCAATTTCAATGGCAGATTACATTCTAAATCCATGAGTAAGGTAAGCCTGAAAGAGGAAACAAAATGCAGGTAAATATTTGTTACTATTATATATTTATTTATTTTAATAACTTAATTCGAGGACATGGAAAAAACCGTAGCCTAGCGTAGTGTCAGCAAGTAAGTAAAACCCCACTGAAAAGAAAAGAAACAGTCAAAAAACAAATTATTTTTTTCTTATTTTGCTGGTTCTTACCCAGTTAAGTAACTTCTTCTTAAGTGATTTAATGAAATTATTCAAAGGAGCTATGCAACGATTTTTTCAGTTGTATAATAAATATAAAACCCTAAAAACACGTGCATTGAAATAAAGCACTAAAATAATGATTCGATTTTACTTAAAAAATACTCTAATACTTCAAATTAGTGTACGACTTTGGCCGGCTTTCGATGGCCAAAATAGAAACGGATTGCCAACTAAGAAAACTGAGAATACTCTGTTCTTATTTCAGCTCAGCCTTTATTGTAGCAAGGCGTACTCTGCTCTCTAAAATGGTAATTTCAGTTTTTAAAACTAAGAATTTGAATTTTTATATGTGATAATTTTTTGCGCTCAAATGCATTGGGCGAGTGTTTTAAAATAAGCAAACGCAATCCAAGCCATTCAGAATGTAAAAATTCAACTTACTTAAAAGAACTCGAAAAAGTTTTTAAAGTTGGGTGACCCAGAAATCGAACATAATATATATTGTTGCAAGTTACACTCTTTGTTCTACCTTTCCTGGTATAACGTGTTGTACTGGCTTCATATCAGCTGTCATATTACGAATGCATAATTTTTATAGTAACGGAATCAGTAGTGACATCTGCTGGAAGGACATATTTATTTCAGGGACCCTAGTTTACAGAATACATACAAGATTAGTTCAAATTGAAGAGATACGACTATATGTTTGTTTTCTTTATATCTTTCTTTATGTACATGGATGACACCGATTCTAAAATCACTTTAAGAAAACGCTCATTCTTCTGCTTTAGAACCTTTCATGCATACATTTTTCATGCTCTCAAGTCAGTGCATCAAACCCTAACTCTATTCAGAGAGGATTGTTTTGATCTCCTGGGACGATTAATTTACTCATCATTTTAATACCTGTAATGTAAAGCAAAGACTTTGAAACTTTTCTGATAAATTAATTAACCTAAAGGAATAGGTGGAAAGAAAAAAACGCACTCCTGACATTTTTAGAATATAAAAATTCTAACATATGACAACTTGAAAAAAAAAATTGAATAAGATGACCAATAAGACCAATAAGATGACCAAGAAATCGAAAAGTTGAACTTTGCATGCTGGACCTGACGTTTTTATATCGATCGAATATACTAGCTGCGATGATGTGATTTTTTTAAATTTAAGAATTTAGTGGTTTTCTGTTTCCAAACAATCTCTACTATAAAATTTCTTTTAACATAAGACAAGTTAACGAAATCTGAAAAATACATGTACGATACCATTCTAATATACAAAAAAAGAGTGTAGAAAGAAATAAATGTGCATCAATGAACCAAGCCTGCTGGACACAGAAGCTCTAGTAGGCAAAGTACTTGTTCACTGAGACTAAGATTTTAATGAAATTCTTATGCAAGTTTATAGCAGACAAAATTTTGAAAAAAAATTTCTTTCAATTTTTCCTACTCGATCTCGTTAAAACCTTTCATGATACAGCCACTGAATTTATTCAAAAAAGTACTCATCATTTTAAACATCTAATTACTGAATTTAACAACGATGTAATGTGACTTCATTAGACATGATGTCAAATTTCTTTTCTGAACCTATATTTCACCGTTCTAGCCTCTAAAAATAGGTATAAAGTCAAAAAAACTAAAATAGGAACGTGTCTCATGAAATCATTAAGTTGGCAAATATTGAAGAGAAATCTTTAACAATGGCAGTGACGTCAAGATGGAGTCATATATGATAAAAGAACGAACTGAAAGCATCCGCCATCATAGATTTGCCATTTTGAATTAATTAAATACATTTTAATTTGCTTTAAAACTTATAAACTGAGGGAATCATCGAAAAAAATTTCAAATTTCATTTGTTTATAAAAGGGTATCTTGGAAGAAAAACGAATCTACCAGTAAAAGGAAGTTCTGAAATGAGTAAACATTATCGTAAATTAAACTTGACAACCCAGGTTACAATAGCAGCTAAAATACATTTGATAACTATGCAATTTTTTTTATGGGCGTCAAAAATGGTTTGCCATGACGATGTCAATGTTGAAAACACGTCAAGAAGACTTACCAATATTTCCAGATTAATTTTAGGAAGAGTCGCTGTCTACATGCTAGAGATAAATGGAACCAAACACATGGCGAGAAAGAGACACTGTTTCAAAAATTCTTTCACTTTCCATTTGTACTAGCTGCATGCCTAACATTTTGAGTTCTAGAAGAGTTTTTCAACATCATAGGAAAGCAGATTTTCCCA